AAGGAAGGAGAGGGAGAAGGAAGGAAGGAAGGAGAGGGAGAAGGAAGAAAGGAGGGAAGGAAGGAAGGAGAGGGAGAAGGAAGGAAAGAGGGAAGGAAGGAGAGGGAGAAGGAAGGAAGAAAGGAGAGGGAGAAGGAAGGAAGGAGGAAAGAAAGGAAGAAGAGGGAGAAGGAAGGAGGGAAGAGAAAGATGGTCTAACATCAACTAAGAAAGGAAGTGGTCTTGTGGGTTTCCAGCAAGAGAGGATTCCCAGTGGAAAATGTTTTTGGGAAGCCTGGAGCCTCTCCATATGCAGAGTGAGTGTCCCTTTGGGGCGACTCAATGGCAGAGACACAGGAAGCCGATCTCTCTCTTAGACACGCCAACCTTTTAGCCTCTGCGATTGTTGAACAGCAGCAGCCAACTGGGAGGGCTCCTCCTACCAGCAGGATGCCAAGCCTGGGGAAGCCATTTAATTACAGCTCCATTCAATCTGGAAGGGGGCCGACGTGCCTGCAGCTGCTCCAACCAATCCGCCGCTGACAAAGAGACAGATGGTTCACTGTCTGCGTATTCTCCATTAATACCAGGCGGTCAGCCGCAGCCAGAAGCCCTGGCTGGATGCATTTCCTCAACAGCTAGAAGGGAGCCTCTTAATGTGTGTGCAGCGATGAGGGATGTAGGCAGTCCTCAACCTGCAACCATTCATTTAGTGACCGTCTGAAATTACAACGGCACTGGGAAAAAAACACATGACACCACTGTTTTTTACGCTTTGACAACTTCTGCAGCATCCCTCTGGTCAAAATTAGGATGCTTGGCAACTGGCGTGTATTTATGACTGTTGCAGTGTGCTGGGGTTATGTGATTACCTTTTATGAGCAATAGCACTTAGACTTATATACGGCTTCACAGTGCTTTTACACTCCTCTCTAAGCAGTTTGCAGAGTCAGCCTCTTGCCCCCAACAATCTGGGTCCTCATTTTACCAACCTTGGAAGGATGGAAGGCTGAGTCAACTTTGAGCAGGTCAAAATTGAACTTCCTGGCTGTGGGCAGAGTTACCTTTGCAATGCTGCATTCTAACAACTGTGCCACTATGGATTCCTTCCTTCCTTCCTTCCTTCCTTCCTTCCTTCCTTCCTTCCTTCCTTTCCTTCCTTTCCTTCCTTCCTTCCTTCCTTCCTTCCTTCCTTCCTTCCTTCCTTCCTTCTTTCCTTCCTTTGCAAGTAATAGCACTTAAACTTATATACCGCTTCACAGTGCTTTTGCAGCCTCTCTAAGCAGTCTGCAGAGTCAGCCTCTTGCCCCCAACAATCTGGGTCCTCATTTTACCCACCTCGGAAGAACAGAAGGCTGAGTCAACCTTGAGCTGGTTCAGGATTGAACTGCTGGCAGTCGGCAGAATTCACCTGCAATACTTTGTTCGAACACCTTTTGCCCCCACGGCTCTTACGTGGTGAAGCAATGTTGAATCCAGATTCACTGAATAAATGTGGTATTAACAATTACAGTGATTCACTTAACAACTGTGGCAAGGTAGGTCATAAAATGGGGCAAAATTTACAACTGTCTTGCTTAACGATGGAAATTTTGGACTCAATTGTCATTGGAAGTTGAGGAGCATCTATAGTAAATGTGGGAAGGACCAATCCGTGGTGCCTCTGCCAGCAAAAACGGAGCTTGGGAGGGCCACAGGCAGCTGTCCCGGGCTCTGTTTTTGGCCCCTAGGGGCCTCCTGCAGCCCTCAGTCTATGAAAACGAGGCTCGGGGGAGGCACGCGGTCCCTCCTCCGAGCTCTGTTTTTTGCTGGCCAAGGGCAACAGGAGGCCCTAGTCGCCGAAAACAGGGGCCCAGGAGGCCATTTTCGCTGGCAGAGCGCTTGGGCCGCCACAGGCACCCCGACACGAGTGATGTCATGGCGGCCACACCCATCTTGGCCATGCCCCCAGGGCTCCCCCAGGTCAAACACAATCCTGATGCGGCCCTCTATTTGACACCCCTGTTCTAGACCAAATGCGAGGGCTGACCAATGCTCAGCCACCTGCATCATCCAAGGTGACAACAACGACAGCAACAATGAAAAGCAATCCTAAGCATTAAATACTAGCAACCGATTGAAAGGCGGAATGGGATAAATTTCCACGTTGCAGGGATTGGTGGAGGGGTGGGAGGCACGGCAGCAACTCGCTCACCAATCTTCCACCAGAATCCTGAGAAATAAGATCATACAGCTAGTCTTTGACTTACAACCATTTGTTTAGTGACCGAAGTTTCAACAGCACTGGACAAAAGTGATTTATGATGGTGTTCACACTTGTGGATCATTGCAGCATCCCCATAAAACATGTCATCAAAAGTTGGGGCATGTGGCAACTGGTATGTATTTATGAGAGCCTCATTGTCTTGGGGTCATTCATCACCATTTGCAACTTTCCCGCCTGGCTTCTGAGAAGCAAAGTCAAACGTGGGAAGCCAGATTCACTTAATGACTGCACAAGTCATTTAGCAACTGCAGTGATTCGCTTAACAAATAAGAAGCTCATAAAATGGGGCAAAAGTCACTTAACTGCCTTGTTTAACAATGGAAATTTTGGGCTCAATTCGAGGTAAGTCGAGGACTACTGTGATGATCCCAGGGTGGGATACAAAATAAACACAGTCACACAAAAAGTGAAGCCCCTTTTGTTCCTTCACTTTACTCCAAGCTCCAAATATCCTTGACTGGAGACAAAAAACTCCCACATGAGCAGTTACGAGAAGGAGGAAATGCTGTTTAAATTATAAAGAGTAAAAAACAACACAAACCAAGCAAGATAAGGGATTGAAGACGTCCACAGATATCAGAACACACACTGGGAAGGACGTCAAACAGGAACAATAAACTAGAGATATTTCCATGCTTTGTTTCCAGCATTCGCCCGTACGCATGTCTGTCCTCTTATCCAGTTGTCACAGCTGCAGCCCATGAAGAGGATCAAGGCCCTCTCCTCCTGAGGAGACCATGCCTCTCCCTTATCCTCTCCTCCCTGCGTGCTCTAGGATGAAGAGGGGATGGGCCTGGATCCTCCTCTGACTGCCCAGCCGGCCTCTGCCCTTCCGCAGCCTCCTCCACAACCTCCGGAGCCACACCTCCACTCCCTGTTGGCTGTTCCTCCTCTCCCTCAGAGTCAGTCTCCACCAGGGGCATGACAGCTACTGCACTTAAAAGAGGAACAGAACTATCCCAATTTGATGCAACACATTCCCCTTGCAGTATCCTAAACACACTGACAAAAAATAATAATAATAATAATGATCCACAAGAAACTCAAACATTAAAAACAACCATGAAAAAGCAAAACCACGGCTGCTCTCAATCCTCTTATTGAGACCATCAGGAGTAGCTGGATTTCGCACTCACCTTCCTTGGATGCCTGCCAAAATTCAAATGCTACCTTGAAAGCCTGAGCAACCGTAAGTGTGACGGCTTGAGCCTGAAGGGAGAGGAGGGGGGTGGGGGGGAAAAAAACAGATACAACAGCAATTATAATGGGGCACTAATAGGCAGCTCCTTTTGCAGATCTGAAACCAGCGAAGGAGATACGTTAAACCAGGAGCCTCCTTCCTCCTTCTACAGCTCCGTCGGTCCCACACCAGTTAAGACTTAATTTAATAGTGATGCTGGCAGTCTTGTGGCTGCAGAGAGTCAAGAGGCAGCTGCAGAAAACTTCGGGTGAATTCACACAATTATTTAGAAGGCTTGTCTTCCTTTCTTTGAAGAGAAAGAGTAGAGTTTATAGAGAATTGCTTTGCCTACAGAAAGTGGTTCATTTTTTGGGGGGGGGGGGAAATCCACCCCTCCTTTAAACGTAAGTCAGCATGGTGCAGTAGTTAAAATAGGACTGTTGCAAATTTGAGGGAAACAACTTTGTTCTAGTCACTAACTCTTAGTTCAACGTAACTGAGAGATTCCCCCCAAAATGGAAAGAGGTGTTCTGATCCAAACCTTGTTCCAAGGAAACAAACATGAAACAGAGGTAACAGAAAAACCTTCTAATGATTCTTTATGAATTCCGTTCCTTCACGGTTAAAAGGCTGTTTCAAATTAATTGTCTCCGATAAGAATGAGCCTTGCCAAGGTTGTGCAAGGCTGACAAGAACTCTAGATAAAGTTACTAAGAAATATTTCAAACACAAAGAGTCTCCAAACACCAACCAAGATATTCCGAACGTCCACCAGGCTTGAGTACAAAAACTTCTTTGCTTCCTGCAAAGAACTCCGGTTTCTCAGCTGGCTTTTATCCCTTAAGGGAGGGGCCATTACCTTGCAGCCTTACTCCCGAGTTGCCCGTGCTGCTGCAGCTGCTCTTTCCTTCGAGCAGCCCTGCGCACACTGGGCACAGGCTCCTCGGGGTCCTCTTCATCACTGCTGCCAGCCTCCACAATCTCCGAAGGCAGCATTCCACTCCCTGATTGTCCTGGCCCCATCCCTGCATCACACACAGGCCCCCTCATCTGAGTCCTCACTCTCCGAGACCTCAGCCATCCGCACCTGCTGCCAGCGAACCACAACAAGAGGCATATTGAACTACTGGATAATTTCTCATTCAAAGATTCTTCCCAATCCCTTCCATTTGGCCTACAGCAGGGGTCTCTAACCTTGGCAACTTTAAGCCTGGCAGACTTAAACTCCCAGAATTCCCTAGCCAGCTGGCTGGGGAACTCTGGGAGTTGAAGTCCGCCAGGCTTAAAAAGAGTCTATTTTGCCTATGAAATGAGATAAAACCTGAAATATTCTGCAAATAACTTCTAGACCTCTATCTGGCCAAGTACAGGTCATTTTGGGAAATAAATATGGAGTTGTTGGGTTCTTTTTGAATATCACTTTTTTTCTTTCTCTTCTCACCTCTATTAATACCTCAACTTAGAATTGAAGTGTGGAATATAGCCGTGCATGTGTTTTCTCTGTGTGTGTGTGTGTGTGTGTGTGTGTGTGTGTGAGAAGGGGGAGGAGGGGGGAGGGAGACAAACCAACCAGTCATAGATCACTTCTATGTGTTTAGATTTACAGGCTGAACCCTCCTAGTGGTAACTGGGGAGGGATTGATTGATTGATTGATTGATTGAACACAGATCTTGTTGTTATACTTATGTAGCTGCCCATCTTATATGAAAGTGACTCTGGGTGATGTACAACACTCGAAGTTAATCCTTCCAAATACTGGGGTTTCTTCACATCCTAAATGAGGGGAAGTTCTGGGATGCATTGTCACGAAAAAGAGGTCCAAACCCTGTTAAACAGGGCAAGGAGCTGTGGTGGCGTAGTGGTTAGAATGCAGTATTGCAGGCTAATTCCGCTCACTGCCAGGCGTTCGATCCTCACCGGTTTAAGGTTGACTCAGCCTTCCATCCTTCTGAGGCTGGTAAAATGAGGACCCAGATTGCTGGGGGCAAGATGCTGACTCTGTAAACAGCCCAGAGATGGCTGTAAAGCACTGTGAAGCTGTATATAAGTCTAAGTGCTACTGCTACTGCTTTAATCAGGCTCCACGTGGAATACTGTGTTTAGTTCTGGAGACCTCACTTAATCAAAGGTATTGATAAGATTGAGTGAGTCCAGAAACAGGTAACAAAAATGGCACAAGGTCTGAGGAACAAACGTATGAGGACAGACTGGAGGAACTGAGTATGTACACCCTAAGAGAACAGAAGGGAAAGGGAAGCATGACTGAAGCCTTTAATTATATTAAGGGTGTGAATCAGGTTCTAGAACAGGGTTGTTAAACTCTATTTCATTGAGGGCCGCAACAGGCCTGTGTTTGACCTCGGGGGGCCGGGGGGACATGGACAGCTTGACGTCACTCATGTTGGGAGTGCCTGTGGTGATTCCACTGCTCTGCCAGCGAAAAGGGGCTCCCACGCTCTGTTTTCAGCTGTGATGGCCTCCTGCAACTCTCTGTCAGTGAAAATGGAGCTTGGGAGGGCCACAGGCAGCCGTCCCGCGCTCCATTTTCGCTTGCAGAGGCACCGCAGGCCGGTCCTTCACTGTTTCCAGGGCAGCCCTACGGGCCAGCTCCGGCCCCCAGTTCCTGAGTTTTGACACCCCTGTTTTAGAAGGTTGTATTTTCAACAGTAAGTAAAAATCAAGAACATGGGGGCATAACCTCAAACTGACAGGAGGAAAATTCAAAAGTTTAGAAAGCATTACTTCACAGAAAGAATAGTGGAAGCTTAGAGCCAACTTCCAGTGAAGATAGTGGGTCAATCATCAGTAACTGAGTTTTAAAATGCTTGGGATAAACATATGTCCATCATCCAACAAAAATTAAAAAAGAAAAGAAAACACAAAAGCAACAAATAAATATTAATAAATAAATAAATTGAAAAGAAAACAAAAACAAATAAATTCAAAAGGCAGACTTGATGGACCACTAGGCCTTTTCCTGCCCTCGGTTTTCTATGTTTTCTATAAGTGATGAAAACTGCCAATTAAATATAAATCCCATTCATGGAGCATTCTTCAAACTATCCAGAAAGTGGCACCCATTTTTACCTACACATCTAGTTAGCTTAGAAGGCCTGTTGAGGTAAAGGTGGATCAAAGACTAACTAGAGCAGGGGTGGGCAAACTTTTTGGCTCGGGGGCCTCATTGACTTTTAAAATTTGACAGACGGGCCGCCACCTGGTGTCGAAATGCCTGTCATTACAAGTCAAAATCAAATGAATGCAATCATTCAATCATTCACATCAAACCTTAATTCTGTACCAATCTTCGGCGGGCCGGATTAAAAAGACCAACGGGCCGGATATGGCCCGCGGGCCGTAGTTTGCCCACCCCTGAACTAGAGTCTTTGATCCACCTTTACCTCAAGTTAACTAACTTCCACAAAACTACATGCTGACACAGGATTAATATTACAGTTTCTTCTCTCCTCATATATCCCTATCTAAAAAACAGTGAGTTGCAGCAAAATTTAGTTCCAAAGCTGCAAACAGCTGATCAATAGATGCAGCACAAAAATCAGCTTGAGATGCCACAATTCTGGAATAAATGTTGTGGCATATAAAGGCCTGGGAATTTAGGAGATAATCAAAACGTGGCAACATTCATGCATTCTGCTAAACCCCAACATGTTGTGTTTGGTTTTAATCCAGGTTATTTTATTGAAATAACCTACTGTACTTGAAACCTGTGGTTTGTTAACCTTCTGCGTAGGCAAACCCAAACTTTGTTCTTTATTTCAGGTTTTAACTTTTTTTTTTTTTTTAGCCAACAGCATTGGAATGAAAGCAATATAGCAAAAGCAATACTGTATAGCATTACACAATTGCGGAATTAGATAATATGTACCAGGCAGAACTCGGAAAAATTATGGCTTATCAAGATGCCTGAACAAGAACTATAATTCACTCTAAGACTCTGTCTAAGAGAGTTATGAGAAATAAATAGGTAGAGAATTTTGCATACACATTTTGTTTTCTTATAGATTAATGGATGCTATAACCAACCCCCCCCTCAAATATCCAGTTGTAGGATGCTGATGAGAAATTTGGATTCCAATCTATCAAACCTCCCACCCATTAACTGGCTAGCATGCTAGACAAACCAGAGCGATGGGGCTGTTTAGAAGAACAGAGACAAAATTGTACCTGTCCCAGTATGACATGAAAGGAAAAAAAGAGATGTTGTCAGAACCATTTAAATCTTTGGTGGAGGAGCAAAGTGCTTTTTTTATCAGGGGGGGGGGGGAAAGGGAAGGAAAAAAAAATCCCAACAACTCCTTAAATATGGTAATTAAGTATGAAACTCCTCACAGCTGTTTACAATTTCAGCTGTCACATTCAAATCAAGTTTAATAGACCCAGATAATGTTGTGAATTGCCCAGGCGCTAAAAATACAGAGTAATTATATGCTGGAGATGTGAAAAATAGACATTCAGAGTCTGTGCCTTGAAGATGTGCACCCTGTCTTCGTATCATGTCAAATTAGCAGGCAACTTTTTGTCTAGGGGGAAAAAAAAGGAGGCGAAGGAAAACACCTTTGGCGGGGAAAGTTTTCAAGGACATTTTGAAAGCAGCATTGAAATTAGAAATAGCCATTAGGGAGATCTGACCCCATTTTATGACCGTTTTTGAGGCGGTCGTTAAGCAAACACGATGGGCCTGCATTGGCTGCTGCGGTTGTTAAACGAATGCCTTGGCCGTTAAGTGAACCAATGGGTCTCTATGGGGGTGGTTTTACCGAAAACTGGAAACGCCATATGGGCAGCCATAGGAATGGAATAAATGAACACACAGCAGGGACTTTTCCACTTAATACTGACCATTTTTTTCTTGGAACAGAGGAAAGCATGACACTCCAGGTTCTCATTGTGCTGACTCTGGGCGATGTAGGCAAATACCTTGTCGTGTACTTTATCTGCTGTACAGTAGGATATCCTGTGAACATTAAAAAAAAGAAGGGAGGGAGAAACGGAGGAAGGCAGGAGAGGAGGAAGAGGAGGGGAAGGGGGAAGGGAAGAGAAGGGGAAGGGGAGGAAAAGGAAGGAGAAGGAGGAGGAGGAGGAGAAGCAGAAGCAGAAGAAGGAGAAATAAAAGGAAAAGGAAGAGGAGGAGGAGGAGGACAAGGAGAAGGAGGAAGAAGGAGAAGAGACAAAAGTAAATAAAAAGGGTAAAGAAAACACGTTAAGAATTCAGTAAGGAGAGGAAAATGACCAACATCCTTTCAGCTAAACACACTCTCACATGAAGTCCTTCATCATTTCCAAATTCTGACATTAAAGCTTCGCAGGCAAATCAGCAATAATGGAGCCTCATCCTTGCGCTAGCTAGATCATTTAAAAATATAATTCCATTCTTTTTGTCAGCTGCTCTGATGGTGTGTTCAGATTAAACAATTCCGTCTTAAAATCACCTCTGCTCTTCTTGTTAGAAGAATAGCATCAGGCAGCACAAACATTCTTGATCACAGCAACATGTTTGACGGGAAGCTGCCTTGAAATGATTTGGAAACACAGTGGGTTCAAGTATGGGAGTTGAGCAGCCAAAGCATATAATACACCACTGCAATTGGCTGTCTATTGATTTTCCCATTTTCCAGTTAAAGTGTGGCGTTCGTAAAAGACTGAGCTGAAGTCTTCACTCCGGTCCGTGTTTCCAGCGGGAACACAGACCGTTCCTATTGGCTGATGCCATTTGACAGCCGGCTATAAAAGGGAGCTGTCAAACGGCATCAGCTGTTGTCCGCCAGCTGGCTGCCTTGTTAGCGCGGCAGCCGTGGCAACCCTTTATTGTTACAATAAAGTAAAAGCTGAAGTTCGCTCCGTGTTCGCCTCAGGTTATTCCGCCGCTCTACAAAACTGGCGACGAGGGCGGGATACATATAAGAGGCAACCGGGCAAAGAATCGCTAAGCGAAGTCACTACAAAAAAGAGCTGAAGTCACTACCGAGCTGAATGTCACTTTAAGAGCTTACTGTCACTATTCGCAAGCGCGAATTTCAACTTTCCTCGGAAGATCTGGCACCGCTGAGTCGAGATGATTTCGAACCCTGCATTCCCGCCTTTCAGACCGACAGCAGAAACATGGGAATCCTACAGAAACCGATTTGACTGTTTCCTAGATGCCATAGACCTCGCTGACATTTCCGACCATAGGAAAAAGTCCTACTTTTTAAGTTTTTGCGGAGCCACAGTGTTTGACACTGCTACGGCATTATTGGCTCCACGTTCAATTAAGACTGTTCCATGGGAAGAATTGCAGGAAATTATTTCCAACCACTATTCCCCTAAGCCATCCCGAATTGCCAGGCGTCATGCTTTTAGGAGACGGATTCAGGCTGAGGGAGAGACTATTAGTGGGTACATGGCTGCCCTACGAACAGCTGCCTTGCATTGTGGGTTTAGAGACTATCTGGAAGACATGTTATTAGACCAACTAGTTTGTGGAGTCAGGGATTTAAGGCTACAAAGGTGTCTATTGGCTAAAGGGGATTTAACCCTTAAATTAGCAATTGAAGAGTCTCAAGCTGCTGAACTATCAGCACTTTCAGCAGCAGAAATTCAGGGAAATCCAATTAGCTAGAGCAGCTCAGCCATCCATTACGATGAAGCCTCCACAGAAGAAGGCTAAGAAGAGGCTAATGATGTAAATCGCCTCAGGCAGCAAAAAAACAGTCAAAGGGAGAACAGGCCAAACCCCAATCTGCCTCCAGGGCCTCAGCCCATTTGTCTAAGCTGCGGGGGAAACCACCTCAGGGCATCCTGCAAGTTCAGGAATGCCATTCGTCTAAAATGCCAGAGGAAGGGTCATTTAGTCAGGATCTGTCAAGCAGGAAAGACTTTTGCCCAAAAGCCTCAGACAACCCAACATTTCCAAAAACAAGTTGAAGACTGTTTTACCTGCTATCAAGCCAAGCTGACTAACAAAGGCTCTAACAAAATCAATGTTTTTGTTTCTATAGAAGGGAAACCTTGCAGGATGGAGGTTGACACAGGCTCAGCACTGTCCATCATCTCATGGAGCACCTTGAAACAACTACTTCCCAGAATGGCTAAGAAGAAGCTTCACGGCTGCCAGTTAACCTTATGTGACTTCCAAGGCAGATCTGTAGGCAGATCTGGGCTGATTATCTAAATAACTGTCCGCATTCACATGCATTTACCCAGAGCTGGCGATCGGCACACGGGGATTTTCTGAATGCCAGACTATTGCCCAAATAGAAAGCCTGCCCATCTTAACTTTGATTGGTCCCTGAACAAATGGTCATAACTTGAGGATTACCTGTATTATAAAAGCAATATCGCTGAATGATGTTTATGTCATTTCAACAAATTACCGCTGGTAATTTCATCAGTTTTCATTCAATAGGAATATGTGGCAATCTTTAGATTTAAACTTAAATGTCCCTGTTTTGGTGAGTAATAGTTTCATGTAATCGTTATCCAAAGAAAAAACACTTTCACCCAATTTTGGGGAATTCAGTCGGGTTTGGGAAGCACTGCCTCAATGGCTCTTTCATATAGGTAATCTCTCATGCCCCTGTTGGAATCTGATTCCGAGGGGGAGGTTGAGCAGCAGACAGGGAGTGGGAGTGTGGCTCCGGTGGTTGTGGAGGAAACTGGGGAAGGGCACAGTCCAGCTAGGTATTCAGAGGAAGACCCAGGGCCACCCACTCTGCATCTTAGGGCACGCAGGGAGGAACGGATAAGGGAACAACGTGGGTTGCAGGGGAGAAAAAGGCCCTGATTCCCTTCATTAGCTGCAGCTGGGGAAACAGGATAAAGAGGGTTTTTGTACACAGAACCTTGCTGGAAGCAAAATGTGCATTATGGTTGTTTCTCAAGTCTTATCTGGCTTCTGGCATCCTCCCAACTGTATGTGTTTCATTATCTTTTGAGTTCTGCAATTCCTTATCCTGCTCTGTTTCGTTAATTGCTGCAGCGTGGTTTGTGTTGGTTTTTATTTATAATTTATATGTACTTTTGGTTCGGACTAAATTTCTTCCCTTTAAAACTATTCTTGGGAGAGTTTTTTTCTCCAGCCAATGATAACTGGACATTGGAGGCCAAGTTGGAGGAATTAAAGGGACTTTACCTACTTTTGTGACTTTGCTGCTTTTGTGCTATGCCCTGGGTCATCACATAATCCTTGACTTACAACCATTTGTTTAGTAACTGTTCCAAGTTATAATGGCACTGAAAAAAGTGACTTATAACTGGTCCTTGCACTTATGAATATTGCACAATCGCATGATCAAAATTTGGGTGCTAAGGTTGCAGTATCCCACAGGGTCATGTGATCACTATTTGCAACCTTCCCAACTAGCCTCCAACAAACAGTGTCAATGGGACAAGCCAGATTCACTGAACAACTTTACGATTCACTGAACAGCTACCGTGTTTTGCTTCACAATTGTGCCAATAAAGTCATCAAGTCATCAAATCACTGAATAACTGTTTTGCTCAGCAACAAACATTCTAGTTCCTGTTGTGATCATCAGTCAAGGAATATCTGTACCTTCCCCACAGTCATTTCTACATTCCTTTAAAATAAGGAAATCTACCAGAACTGACTTCTAAAGGGCAGCAGAGTCCCGTCAATGAGATCAGCTGACACAGCTGGGGCAGGAATAAGTGCCTGGACACACATCTTTCTTCAGTGCTTCCCCTCCTGTGACTCTGGAGGCAGGAATGGCCTTTTAGCCTTCAATGATTGATCACACTTCCACACCACCAAATCTGACACAATTTACAGCAGTTCATAATTTATACAAATGGGGGGGAATTAAACAGTTTTAGATGCAAATATGATGTTGAATTAACACCCCCCCCCCAAAACACAGAATCTGAGATTCTGAGAGAATTATTCTATATATGTGGAAAGAAAACTCCAGATGTCAAAGAGATGTGTTCTTGGCTGATTTCCTGCAGTGTCTTTATATTGTAGTAATGGAAAGATGGAGCACAGTGTTTCTACTTGGTCGAGATTTAATACTGTGTTAAAAGGCTGAGCTAGTTGTACATTATGCCTATATGGTTCTTTTTGTTTCTTTTTCTTAAATTCCAGTTGAAATTATGCTTTGTTAAAGTATTTCCACCATTGTATCATTTTCATCTTCATTAAATTCTTCAGTAGTTATTATAATAAAATATAAAGCACAAGATTGCACAAACACAAACCACAAAATAAAATTAATGAAAGAGTGACCACAAGGGATGATTCAATCTGTCATCGTAAAACAGCATCAAATGTATTCTTAGGTCCAAAGAACCAAGGAAGACACGTGGTGATTCTTCCAAGCTGATTTCATTATTCTTGCCAAACCTATAGACAGAATCTTGCCACATTAAGCACTCTACTATATTTACCTCAAACATACACTCTGTGAACTATTAGGGAGGGACTGTCTTCACCCTCTTTCTCTCACACAAAATATCTGGACTGAGCTGCCTCTTACTCCTCTGGAATACAGCCCCTCCCTCCTGGGGATCAGTCTCTATTATATTCCATTTACAGCGCAAGATTTTTTCCTTAGCATCCTCACAGAATGATGGTTGATATAGTGCTAACAGAATTTCAGTTGTACCCCAAAGTGAGGGCCACTACTGAGCAACGACAACAGAGACCCAGTTTGGGACAGTGATCAAGGTGCTGGATTAGACACCAGGAGACGATGAGTTCTAGTTCCACCTTAGGCTGGGAGATTTTTGGTCCTATCACCAGGACATTGTGAGTTCTAGTCTGACATTAAGCATGAATGCCCACTGGGTGCCTTTGGGCCAGTCATCAGGAGACTGTGAGTTGTGGTCCTGCTTTAGGCGTGAAAGCTGGCTGAGGCCTTTGGGACAGTCACTTTCTCTCTCAGCCCAACTCACCTCATAAGGTTGTTATTGTGGGGGGGAAAGGAGGAGGAAGGAGTGTTAGGTATGTTCATCACT